CTCCCCATCACTGTTATAACAAATGATCATCAACGTTTGGACTTAAAGCAATGACTTTTTTATTTTCTTAAAGTTCTGGAAGTCGGGAGTCTAAAGTCTAGGTGAAGGCATCCAGGGGAAAATCCATCCCCTTGACTTTACAGCTCCCCTTGCGGAGGCCCCCTGGGGCAGTGGTGATGCGCTCGGCTGCTAAATGATGGGTGGGGATTGGAACCCTCTTGCTTTGCTGCCACATTTCCTTTCAGTGTCATTGACACGCTTGCCCTTCTCATGTAAGTATGATCTCACCCACCCAGATCATTTCTCCGTCTCGAAACCCTTAATTTAGTCACACCTGTGAAGTCACTTTTGTCACATAAGGTAACACGATCACAGGTTATCTAGATCGAGAATGTGAATACCTTTGAGGGGCTCCTTATTCTGTCTTTCATACCTCGGAGTAAAAGCAACTAACTCTCTACTAAACACGGACGGCATGTACTTTCTTCATACATAACACCATCTTGGAAACAAGAATGAAATGTACATGCCTGAAGGTCAACTATTTAACAGCATGTAGCTGGCTGTCCTATTTCCTGTGAGCTTAAAATGAAGTTAAATAAGACCCTTAATTATATCACAATTTCAGATTCAATCTTTAAAGATATGTGTCCAGTATTATTTAAGACCCATTGCCATTGAATTGATTCCAACCCAAAATGATCCTACAGGCTACCATGGAATTGAATGATAGAGTTCCCAAATTACAATCGTTATGGAAGAAGACTGTCTCATCTTCCTCCTACAAAGTGGCTAGTGAATTCAAATCAGAGCCCTCTTAATTAGCCGTTGAGCCCTTAAACACTGCACCCCTAGTGCCCCTTCAAGCATTCTGCTGTTAAGTGCCATCAAGTCGGTTCCAACTCATAGAAACACTATGAACAACAAATGTATGAAACATCGCCCTGTCCCACACTGTTGTCCCCATTGGTCATCCGTTTGAGCCTATTGTTGCATTTCCTGTGTCAATCCATCTTGTTGAGAGCCTTTCTGTTTTTCATCACCAAGCACGATGTCCTTCTCTACGGACAGGTCTTCCCTGACAACATGTCCAAAGTACGAGAGACAAAGTGTCCCCATCCTTCCTTCAAAGGGGCATTCTGCTGCGCTTCTTCCAAGACAGGTCTGTTTGTTCTTTTGGCAATCCATGCTACTTTAATTATATACACATTCCTAATTCTTTTCCACAATTAAAATTGTGGGTGACAGGCGTAAGTCTAATGAACATCTGATGAAAGCCAAGGGCATCTAATAATACCCGGACTTGTTTAAATTATAGTTGTTTTATAAAATGAAGACAGATACACAGTGAAAATTATCAAAATACTATCACATGGACCACAATGATGTGGAGAGTAATCTGGTATCTATTAGGCTCTGTAATGTTTTACAAAGCCTGTTCATCCATGATGAACTATACCCCAAGCTAGTTTATAAAATTAGGGATGTTAATTCCAATGGAATAAACTTGTAAGCATTTCAATTTTAAACAGGCTCAATCTTAGATAAGATTCCTGAAGTAGGGTTCTGTTTTATTTTCACTGATAAAATATCAGAGATCATAGACTGGGAGCATTTACACAATGTTCTTTTTAGTAATATTTTACACAGAGCTTCGTTTTACTAATGCTGACCCACTGCCATTTAGTTGATTCTGACTCATTATGACCCATAAAGAAAAGTACAAGTGCCCCATTGGGTTTCTGAGACTAAATCTTCATGAGAGTGGAAAGCCTCACCTTTCTCCCTCAGAGAAGCGGATAGATTTGAACAACTAACTTTGCAAGTATCAGATCAGGGAGCTACCCACTACATCATTGTTTGACAAAACCAACATAACTCAAATTAGTGCTAACATGTGCTTCCAAAAGAGTATTTTTAAAACATGCCACACAGACAACATTAAATAAAGTTCCATTTAAAAAATTCACTTGAACCTGTTACTTAATCTGAGTGATACATTATAATATAAATAGATAGTAAATATTTCTTCACATCATTTTAAACTATCCTTCTTGTATTGTCAACTGTAACGTGAGTATAAAAGCGGTATGTACCACAAAGGAGTGTGAGCACTATATGATAAAGCATATATATGTTCAGGGCCAGTAGTCATCAAGTATTTACTAAGCCTTCATTAGATTTAAGCAATAAGAAATGGGCCATACTTGGAGGAGACTTGATGAATTCACTTTGTAGCCCATGAATTGTCATGAACTTCTGCTGGTGGCATTACCTGTCCCACCATGGTTTCCCAGCAGGGTCCTCGAGGCACATCTGCTGGGTGGACAGAAAAAGGTGGCCCAGTGCTATTTCCAGAGAGCGATGCATTGTAGGCCTTGATCATATTGGCTTCCCAGATGGTAATATTGGCTTTAACTAGCTTCTCCTCTTCAATCTAGAACCAGAGGGATTGAAACAATACAGATTTCAAAGACATTTCAGACACAGACATTTCACCAACACTGATAAAGTAAGGACAAGCAGCCACATGGTTTACCTTGTTGTTAATTTCATCCATCAAGGCAAGAATAAACACATACAAGTTGCCTAAAAGAAGGGCAAAAATACGTCCCAGCAGCCATTTCAGAGCAATGAGGGGATGGTAGTCTTCCAATTCAGCAAATAAATCAAACAGAGTTGGACAGAACATCCCCAGAAGAGACATAACCATATTCATCTAGAAGGGGACACAAGGGAACACCTAGATTAACTGTGTTTAAAATTGCTTATTCTTTCATCACAGTATCAATATTCACAATAGTCAAAATGTAAACACAACGTACGTGTCCATCAACACACCAAAATCAAATGTGGTATATGCATACAATGGAATGTTACTCAGCTATCAAAAAGGAATGAGATTCTCATACATGATATGATGTGGATCTAAAACCAAACCCAACTGCCACCAAGCCGGATGCTGGCTCACAATGACCCTGCAGGGCAGGGCAGAACGGCCCCTGTGGGTTTCTGAGACTGTAACTCTTTACAAGAGTAGGAAGACCCATCTTCCTCCTACAAAGTGTCTGGTGGTTTTGAACTGCTCCTGAAACATGGATACACTTTGATAAGCCTATCCGAAGTGAAATAAGATAGAAAAGGAAAAAGACTGTGTTATTCTATATGAAATCTGTAATACAGGAAAATGTATAGAAGAAGAAAGTAGATTAGAAGTTACCAGGAGCTGGTAGGAGGGGAGAAGGGGGAGTCGTTGTTTACAGGACAGAGAGTTTCTGCTGATGGTGATGAAACACTTTTGAAAATAGATTGTGGTTATGGTTGCAGGACGTCAATGTGCTGCATGTTAATTGTGAATGTAATTAACACTATTCAATGATACTCTTAACATGGTTAAGATGTCAATTTTTACTATGTATATATCTTTCTGCAATTTTAGAAATTAAACTATTTCCCCTAGAATTCTGTCATTATTTGATCTTTCATAAACCTTAAGATTATTTCATGCATTCTCATAGTTTGATCTTAAAACAGCAACAAACATGGTCTGCAACCCACATTCTCAAAAAGTGCTCGTGGGTGAGTTTGTGTGGGTGCCAGCCAGGACAGCGCTTCCTGTTACTGAAAGAGCGGATGACATTGCTCTGTGCCCAGAAAGCACACACTGTTCTTCAAAGGCACTGATTTTTTATATGGTGACACACTTATAGCAAAATTCCCATGGAAAGGGTACACGATGTACTGGAGGCGTAAAAAATGGAAACGCTAATATGTCAATCATCGGCAAATGGGATCGTTTTGTCCACTGGAAAGGTACAAGGTCTCTGAACGGGCTCGGGGATAACACTGACTTGAGGAGAATGTTCAGCCGTCAAACTGCCATGGGCTTCTCCAAGAAACCAGGGAAATACAGAGAAGCACAAGGGGGAACACTCGACAGAATGTTCTAGAATCACAGTAGGAAAGTGTAAAAAAGGAGGAA